CCGGCCCGGCCCTGATGGCCCCCATCAGGGCGGACTGGCCGGACCCCACCTGTGCATGAATTCATGCACCAGGCCTCTAGTTGTTAAATGAAACACTAAGAAACATCATCAATGTGTTCTTAACAACCTAAAAGCAATTCCTAAAATATTTGTGCTGTGCTGTGTAAGTTTGCTGGATTAAATAATCGCTCTAAATACCAAAGTTCTAATCAGCAAAACTGATATCCAAACATGGAGCAAATATATATTCAATTAGCAAAACAGACAGTAATTCCATTTTTCAAAAAATCTCCAACATTCAAGAAGCATATCATAGTCCTATAAGATGAATGTGGAAAGAAATACTAGTAAAGGTCAAGGTCACATAACTGACTGAATCTTAGATCTGAGAAGTTTGGGAGACACGCTTTCCAGTGAAGATGGAGCAGGGAAGATGCAGACCACTCCTGATGTCTTAAAGAGTGCACAAAGAAGAGAAACACAATTTTACAAAAGAAAACTTGACAAAATGGAATCACTCCAGATACAAAAGATACAGAAACAATTGACCAATAGTAATGCAAACTTCAGGTTCAAAAATTATAACTATTTAAATTAACCTCTGAAACAATTTTCTGAAAGATCAAATGTTAGGACAGAACTCTGTCCTCATCTAAATGATTTTAAAAATTCTTTTTTCTCCATAAAGTTTTCAGATTATGCCAAGGAAAAATAATAAGTTCATTTATCCCTGTCTGGAAATGAACTTCGATATCTCATTCCACCCTCTTTCATCCTACTCAATTTCACTTACTACAATGTAAAAACCATTAAACAAATGAACAAAAAAAACTCCACACCCATTAAGTTTACATTAATATAAACATTGTTGGTGATATAGGGAAAGATGCACATATTGCACAGCAAAGAATATCCACCTTGAATGCATGTATGTTTTGAAAATAGAAGACATAACAAAAATGGATAAATAAATCAATATTCATAAATATATTTGGAGTATATATAAAATATAGTTTGTGAAATGCAATAATCCAAGTTAGCTTCAATAAATATTTCTTGAGTGCCTATAATATACACAGCACTATACTGGACTGTTCTAATAGAAAACAAAAACTATATATAGTCTTTAATCCCATGGAGCTCACAGTGTACCAGAAGAGACAAACAGGTACACAGCCCTTTTTGGTTAGTGTCACAATAAAACTTATACAACGTCCTAAGGGAGAAAAGATTTAAAAAGTAATTTCAAACAATTGGATGGGGGAGGGGAATGGGACTAATGACCAACAGGACTCAGGAGGTTGAAGCTCATTTATAAAAGAAGACAGGATCTCAAGCAGCAGGGACCAAAAAAAAAAGGAAGCATCCTAGAAGGGAAGCCCAGTGCCACTGGGAGGAAACGCAAAACAGAATCTGGCAGCGGCACAGAGAACCGATGGCGCCTATAATGGAAGTGGTGGCTGGGAAGACAAAGTGGAATCACAGCCAACACAAATGGATCTCAAACTTTCCTCTCCTGTAAGTCACTCTATCAAATAATCCTGAAGCCATCATGTGAAAAAAAACAAGTCTAATTTGCCAATGAAGGGCATTTATGTGTTCAAATATTTATAAAAATAAGATACATTTTCAGGGTATTTTAAGTATAAACTATACTGCAAGTTGTTAATTAAGATCCATTTACATACTTCCTAGACTGTGTCAGCAGCACGCTGCTGAGAAACACTGGTAATAGGGAACCAGCAAAGCTTTTTAAGCAGAGGTCTGATAACATCTCTGCTTTAAGGAGACCACTCTCTGGTATAAGTATGAAGAGAAAGGCTTGCAGGCAGAGAAAGCATTTGAAAAGATGCAGTGACCTAGAGGGGAGGTTTGAGCTAGGACTAAGGCAGAATTGAGGAAAGGCACTTTGCAGAGTAGCTCTGCAGAATAAGCAAGAAGAGGCTGTGATCCATTGAACTAGGTGCATGAAAGTATATGGGCTGGTCAGTTAGAGTGAAGTGTTAAAACCATGAGAGTTTCAACGTCCAGATTTTTTTTGAAAAATTAATATAGATTTCATATTGATTTCCAACTGTTTATTGTTATTCCTGGGCTATTCCACAGCCTCCTCAAACACAGTATGCTCACCTAAACCTGCTCCTCCTAAATTGCATCAACTATTAATTGTCACCCACCCCTTAGTGTCAAAAACTGGGAGTGATTCAAGACTTCCTCCTCTTCCCTAATACCCATGTTCACTTAGTAACCAAGTCAGAGACTTTCTAAATCCTCAGAACCTTTGTACTCCTCTCCTTCCCATCCCCAGCATCATGACCTGAGTACAGGATCTCAGCACATCACACCTGTACAACCATACCTAATGGATCACCCTGTCTCTAGTCTTGCCCTTCCCACATCTACTCTTTACCCCAGACCAATCTCAACTTTCCTCCAAAAGGAAAATTAGTAAAGCGTGAGCCTAATTATACCATTGCCTAGATATAAATCCTTTAATGGTGTTGCCTAAGCGGCTCGCGAGCCACATGCGGCTGTTTGGCCCCTTGAGTGTGGCTCTTCCACAAAATACCGACTTTTGCGCATGGGCCACGAAGTTTCAATCGCACTGTGCGTGCGTGCGTGCCCTCACGTGGTATTTTGTGGAAGAGCCACACTCAAGGGGCCAAACAGCCGCATGTGGCTCGCGAGCCGCAGTTTGCCGACCACTGATCTAGGCTAACAGTCCAGAAAAGACCCTCAGCAACCTGGGTCTCACTTGCCCCTCTGGTCCTGTTCCTCTATGCTTTAGATATCCTGAACTACTTCCACACTGACTCATTTCTAGGCTTTTACTTGCATTCTTTCATAGATTCCCTTTTCTTGCGTGTCTCCTCCAAGACTCAATTTACACATCAAATTCTGCAAAACATCTTTCTTTATTGCTTTTTGTCTAGTTTTCCCTAGAATATGCTCCCTTAGCATTATGCACTGACTTGTCCTATAGCATCTGCCATGTTATATGGCAATAATCTGATTCTTTATTCTCCTCACCTAGTGATATAGGTGGTCTCTATTTATTACTTAGTCCAATAGCCATCTTTCTCTGCTCTGTCCTGACCTCTACAGGCTGATTCAGCTAGGCCCCATTGCTCTTCTGCCTCTGCTTTGGTTCAACCACAGGGAGACTCCAGCAGGATATGAGAAGGTAAAAGGTATATATGCCCTTGTGTCTTCCCTGCTTTGGCTAGTTCTGGCAATGGCTTCGTTCTTTTAGAGCTGTAACTATTCAAGTTGGCCCATCCTTCATAGTTTCAAAACTCACAGGGCTCCACTAATATCTTGCCCTCTCTTGCTCCTTCGGGCCCAGAGGTAGTAGCAGCTTCCATCCCTTGCTGGTTTCTTTCCACCTGGCTCCCACCTCCATAGATAATTCCTTTACTAACCCTTGTCATTTAAACCCTTTTTGTGGATCATCTGTTTAGTATTGATACCCTTACCATTAAACTTACTGTTCACTTCTCAAGAAAATGTAAGATACCTTTATAGACTCAAAATGGAGTATCTAGCCCAGTGGTTCTCAACCTGTGGGTCGCGACCCCTTTGGCAGTCAAACGACCCTTTCACAGGGGTCGCCTAAGACCATCTTGCATATCATATATTTACATTACGATTCATAACAGTAGCAACATTACAGTTATAAAGTAGCAACGAAAATAATTTTATGGTTGGGTCACAACATGAGGAATGTATTTAAAGGGCCAGAAGGTTGAGAACCACTGATCTAGCCTATAATGGGTACTCAACAAATATTTTTTGAAGGAATGACTAAACCAATGCTCAGCAAACTTTTTTTAGAAGTGCCCAGATAGTAAGTATTTTAGGTTTTGCAAGCCACGTGGTTTCTGTAACAACCATTCAACTCTGCAATTATAGCAGACATGCAGCCATAAACAATATACAAATAAGTGTGTCTGTGTTCTAATAAAACTTTATTTATAAAAGCAGGTATCAGGCCAAATTTGGCCTACAGGCCTTAATTTGCCAAACCCTGGAGTAAACAAATGAAATGCACTTATAAAAGTGCATATTTTAAAACTTAATTTAACATAAAAATACCTAATATATGAATAAACATAGAGAGCTCTCCAGGACATTTATCTGAAATTCATGAGCAATTAAAACTAGAAATTAGGTTGCTGAGGGTCTTTTCTGGACTGTTAGCCTAGATCAGTGGTCGGCAAACTGCGGCTCGCGAGCCACATGCGGCTGTTTGGCCCCTTGAGTGTGGCTCTTCCACAAAATACCGACTTTTGCGCATGGGCCACGAAGTTTCAATCGCACTGTGCGTGCGTGCGTGCCCTCACGTGGTATTTTGTGGAAGAGCCACACTCAAGGGGCCAAACAGCCGCATGTGGCTCGCGAGCCGCAGTTTGCCGACCACTGATCTAGGCTAACAGTCCAGAAAAGACCCTCAGCAACCTGGGTCTCACTTGCCCCTCTGGTCCTGTTCCTCTATGCTTTAGATATCCTGAACTACTTCCACACTGACTCATTTCTAGGCTTTTACTTGCATTCTTTCATAGATTCCCTTTTCTTGCGTGTCTCCTCCAAGACTCAATTTACACATCAAATTCTGCAAAACATCTTTCTTTATTGCTTTTTGTCTAGTTTTCCCTAGAATATGCTCCCTTAGCATTATGCACTGACTTGTCCTATAGCATCTGCCATGTTATATGGCAATAATCTGATTCTTTATTCTCCTCACCTAGTGATATAGGTGGTCTCTATTTATTACTTAGTCCAATAGCCATCTTTCTCTGCTCTGTCCTGACCTCTACAGGCTGATTCAGCTAGGCCCCATTGCTCTTCTGCCTCTGCTTTGGTTCAACCACAGGGAGACTCCAGCAGGATATGAGAAGGTAAAAGGTATATATGCCCTTGTGTCTTCCCTGCTTTGGCTAGTTCTGGCAATGGCTTCGTTCTTTTAGAGCTGTAACTATTCAAGTTGGCCCATCCTTCATAGTTTCAAAACTCACAGGGCTCCACTAATATCTTGCCCTCTCTTGCTCCTTCGGGCCCAGAGGTAGTAGCAGCTTCCATCCCTTGCTGGTTTCTTTCCACCTGGCTCCCACCTCCATAGATAATTCCTTTACTAACCCTTGTCATTTAAACCCTTTTTGTGGATCATCTGTTTAGTATTGATACCCTTACCATTAAACTTACTGTTCACTTCTCAAGAAAATGTAAGATACCTTTATAGACTCAAAATGGAGTATCTAGCCCAGTGGTTCTCAACCTGTGGGTCGCGACCCCTTTGGCAGTCAAACGACCCTTTCACAGGGGTCGCCTAAGACCATCTTGCATATCATATATTTACATTACGATTCATAACAGTAGCAACATTACAGTTATAAAGTAGCAACGAAAATAATTTTATGGTTGGGTCACAACATGAGGAATGTATTTAAAGGGCCAGAAGGTTGAGAACCACTGATCTAGCCTATAATGGGTACTCAACAAATATTTTTTGAAGGAATGACTAAACCAATGCTCAGCAAACTTTTTTTAGAAGTGCCCAGATAGTAAGTATTTTAGGTTTTGCAAGCCACGTGGTTTCTGTAACAACCATTCAACTCTGCAATTATAGCAGACATGCAGCCATAAACAATATACAAATAAGTGTGTCTGTGTTCTAATAAAACTTTATTTATAAAAGCAGGTATCAGGCCAAATTTGGCCTACAGGCCTTAATTTGCCAAACCCTGGAGTAAACAAATGAAATGCACTTATAAAAGTGCATATTTTAAAACTTAATTTAACATAAAAATACCTAATATATGAATAAACATAGAGAGCTCTCCAGGACATTTATCTGAAATTCATGAGCAATTAAAACTAGAAATTAATAATTTTATTTTTATTTATAGTATATACTTATATATAACTTACTATATGAAATCAATTAATAAGCAGCTATATGTCATGCATTACCAAAGTGTTATGATATTAATATTGATGTGTTTCTAGAAGTAAAACCATGATTATAGAGCATAAGAAAATCATTCACTGAATCATTAAAAACAGTTAAGAATAATTGCCCCTGACTTACAAAATTATATCTTTGAGCAACATAAAACTGTTTTATTTTTACAATAATATCATAGTATAACATATATACCTGTTTTGTGTTTAAAAACCATTGAAAAATATAAATGACCTTCTAGATTAAACTCCACTCTGGCACGTGTTATGCCTTTGTTCTTTACCAAAAATGGAATAATCTGGGTACCGCCAAGAAAGGTGCCGCTGAAGATAAATGTGTCCTAAAATTTTTAAAAAGGAATAATTAGAAAGTAGTGTAATAGTTTAAGAGAATAATTAAACTAAAAATTAAACTGTAAGAGATAGACCTTAAAAGTCCTCATCATAAGAAAAATATTTGTAACTATGTTTGGTGACAGACGTTAACTAGACTTATTGTGGCAATCGTTTTTTTCAATAAATACAAATATCGAATCATTATGTTGTACACAGGAGATTAACATGTTTTATGTGAATGCTACCTCAACAAAAAATATACTGTTACGTTCACCAAAGACATTAACTAGAGTACTCTATAAAAATTAGTCATATTTTCCTTCCTTCCCCCAACTCCTGTATATAATCAGTTACCAACTCCCATTAATTCTGCCTCCTTCCTCACTTCTTATCCTTTTCGTAACTGAATAAAGTTAGTAACTCATCACTTTTCATTTCATTTCTAAATTCTCACTTTCTCCAATTCTCCCCTACAAAACTAAGTCACAATTAAAGCCGCTGAAAATCTGACCACACTGCTTCGTGTATTAAAATTTAATGATTCTCCTCCATCTACAGGAGAATATCAAATTCATTAGCAAGGCTCACAAAGGTCACCATGACCTTCCCCTAGCTCATGTTCCAGCCTCACCTAGCTTCATTCTCACCCTACCACCTCATACTTCAGTAAGCTGTATGACTTGTCATTTCCAACCAATACCTGATGCTTCAACCTTCTGTATCTTTAGCAAGGTGCCCCTTGGTCAGGAAGACCTTTCACTAACTTATTATTGCCTGATAAAATATCATGCATCCTTCAATCCCCAGTTTGATAAACCAAAACTAAGGACACTGCTCAGGACTATTTCTGTTCCTTATATTTACTTATATTACACCATCACAAAGTCCCTTTATTTGTTTACATATCTGTTTCTCCTGGTGGTGCTTAAGTATAATTCATTTTGCATCCATACAAAGTGAGACTTAGCTTAAATATATAAGGAATGTTTATTGATTGTATCTTAACTTGAGCTTATATGTCAGGATGTGCCTACACCACGAAACTATAGAATTTGTCCTTCTGGTGGTGCTACTATATATACCAGTGATGGCGAACCTATGACACGCATGTCAGAGGTGACACGTGAACTCATTTTTTTGGTTGATTTTTCTTTGTTAAATGGCATTTAAATATATAAAATAAATATCAAAAATATGTCTTTGTTTTACTATGGTTGCAAATATCAAAAAATTTCTATATGTGACACAGCACCAGAGTTAAGTTAGGGTTTTTCAAAATGCTGACACGCCGAGCTCAAAAGGTTCGCCATCACTGATATATACCCTACAGTTCCTTAGTAAAAAAAATTACATGTATTATTCAAAGAGAAAGAAGCAACAATATTCTAATGTTAAGGAAAATACTTCATTAAGGTCAACTGGCCACTATCTGTTTCACTTAAAATGTCAACCCAATTGCACAGGTGAAATTTATAAAATCCAAAATGGTTAATGAAAGTTTGACAATTTATATATGCAAAAAACCATTCCTCTTATCCCATTCTGGCCTTGTCCATTTGCTCATTTGGGAAAAATTTCCTAATTGTTACTAAGATACAGAGTCAATGCCACACACTTATTAAATGTACTGCTAATAGTACCAGGTGGTACTAGAATATTTTTTTAAGGCAGCTATGTTTAAAATCCAACGTAATTAGGAAATATTAATAAATATTTATTAATGTAAAGTTCTATAAACTACTTAGCTGTGCCATAACATGAAAAGCCTGCCACAAATGTCTTTGGCATGAGGAAATAAAGTAGTAAAAGTCTCAATACTTGTCTAAAATTGTTCAAGGAGGAACACCATAGCAATGGAAAAAGCACTCTGATCCTACAGGGTTTAATATCCAGGAGTAACCATAGTCTTGGACAAGCTAGCTTAATATCTGTCCATAATGCCTTCAATACTGAATAAAATAAGGTTTGGAACATTAAACCATAGAATTGTGCTGATGCCATTAAAGTACAAACTAGTAGTAAGGCCTACCTAAGGCAACCAGCAGCCTCATCAATTTCTGCTCAATTTAGTTAAGCACCAAAATGGTGCTAGGTACTGGGGAACTATTGAAAGAGAAAAAGAAAAGTGCAGATAACCTGAAAACAATTGACAATCACTATAATGAAGATGTTCCCAGAATTGAAGATGTCTGTAACATCTTGTAAATGTCACAATAGAGGGGCATATGGGTCTGCTTTGAAAGATCAGGATAAGTTTCTCTGGGTAGATGAGGCCATATATAATTCCTGAGAGGCTGGCCAAAAAAAGCATGTGTGTGCACTCTATCAATTATAGAACAAAATTTCATCAGGGTACAGAACAAAAAAAAAATTAAGTATAATTATAATGCAAAAATTCAAATCAACACCACAGTGAGATATCATTTTATATTCCAAAGACTGGCAAACATTAAGTCTTATAATACAATGTATAGAGCAATGGAATGTGGATCAATGGAAACTTGAAGAGAAAATATGGAAATTATCTTGTGAGGTCAAACATGCGTATATTCAATGTCTCAACAACTCCACTCCAAAGGAAAACTCTTGCATAAGTGCCTCAGAAGGTATGTATATCAATGTTCATAGGTATAGTCTTTGTAATAACAAAAAAAACAGAAACACCTAAATTTATGAACAATGGAATGTGAATACAAATTATAGTATGTCTATGCAATGGACTATTAAATAGCTGTGATAATAGAATACAACCACATACACAACTTCGATAAAATTTGGAAACACAATATTTAATTTAAAGCAACACACCAAAGACTGTACATGTTTTTTATAAAGCTCAAAAATGAACAGAGTAAACTAAACAATGAATGGTTAAGGAATTCATACACATATTGTAACCCAATTAGAAAAAGTAAAGGGATAATAACCAAAAAATTAAGGAAAGGAATTATCCCTTAAAAGGAGCAGAATCATGATGAAACCTACAGATGATTTAATGGTACTGGTAGTGCTCTGATACTTAAGTTTGGTGGTGAATTCTTATACCTTTATTTACTATTCTGCTTCATTACTTATTTACATATAATAATTTGTGTCAAATTAATACATAATAACATTTTTATTTTTTTTTTTATTTTTTTTTTTAAAGTTTGTAATGGTCTTTATTATCCATGAATGAGTGAGATCATGTGGTATTTTTCCTTCATTGACTGGCTTATTTCACTTAGCATAATGCTTTCCAGTTCCATCCATGCTGTTGCAAATGGTAAGAGTTCCTTCTTTTTTACAGCAGCATAGTATTCCATCGTGTAGATGTACCACAGTTTTCTAATCCATTCATCTACTGATGGGCACTTAGGCTGTTTCCAAATCTTAGCTATGGTGAATTGTGCTGCTATGAACATAGGGGTGCATAGATCCTTTCTGATTGGTGTTTCTGGTTTCTTGGGATATATTCCTAGAAGTGGGATCACAGGGTCAAATGGGAGTTCCATGTTTTGTTTTTTGAGGAAACTCCATACTGTCTTCCATAGTGGCTGCACCAGTCTGCATTCCCACCAGCAGTGCACAAGTGTTCCTTTTTCTCCACATCCTCTCCAGCACTTGTCGTTTGTTGATTTGTTGATGATAGCCATTCTGACAGGTGTGAGATGGTACCTCATTGTTGTTTTGATTTGCATCTCTCGGATGATTAGTGACTTTGAGCATGTTTTCATATGTCTCTTGGCTTTCTGAATGTCCTCTTTTGAAAGGTGTCTATTTAGATCCTTTGCCCATTTTTTGATTGGATTGTTTATCTTCTTTTTGTTAAGTTGTATGAGTTCCCTATAAATTTTGGAGATTAGGCCCTTATCAGATATGACGTTGGCAAATATGTTTTCCCACGCAGTGGGTTTTCTTGTTGTTTTGTTGATGGTTTCTTTTGCTGTGCAGAAGCTTTTTATTTTGATGTAGTCCCATTTGTTCATTTTCTCTTTAGTTTCAACTGCCCTAGGAGCTGTATCAGTGAAGAAATTGCTTCGGCATATGTCTGAGATTTTGTTGCCTTTGGATTCTTCTAGAATTTTTATGGTTTCCTGTCGTACATTTAAGTCCTTTATCCATTTTGAGTTTATTCTTGTGTATGGTGTAAGTTGGTGGTCTAGTTTCATTTTCTTGCATATATCTGTCCAATTTTCCCAACACCACTTATTGAAGAGACTATCTTGGCTCCATTGTATGTTCTTGCCTCCTTTGTCAAATATTAATTGAGCATATTGGTTCGGGCTAATTTCTGGACTCTCTATTCTATTCCACTGATCTATATATCTGTTCTTGTGCCAGTACCAGGCAGTTTTGAGAACAGTGGCTTTGTAATACAGCTTGATATCTGGCATTGAGATCCCACCTACTTTGTTCTTTCTCAGGATCGCTGCAGCTATTCGGGGTCTTTTTTTATTCCAGATGAATTTTTGGAGAGTTCGTTCTAGATCTTTGAAGTAGGCCATTGGTATTTTAATGGGAAGTGCGTTGAATTTATAGATTGCTTTGGGTAGTATGGACATTTTAATGATGTTGATTCTACCAATCCAAGAACATGGTATGTTCTTCCATCTCTTTATGTCTTCCTCTATCTCTTTTTTCAACGTCCTGTAGTTTTCTGAGTAGAGGTCTTTTACCTCTTTAGTTAAGTTTATTCCTAGGTAGCTTAATTTTTTTGGTGCGATGGTAAATGGGATTGTTTTTATAATCTCTCTTTCTGAAAGTTCACTATTGGTGTATAGAAATGCCTCAGATTTCTTGGGGTTAATTTTGTATCCTGCTACATTGCCAAATTCATGTATTAAGTCTAGTAGCTTTTTGATGGAGTCTCTAGGGTTTTGTATGTATAATATCATGTCATCTGCAAATAAGGACAGTTTTACTTCCTCTTTTCCAATTTGGATGCCTTTTATTTCTTCTTCTTGTCTAATTGCAATGGCTAATACTTCCAGGACTATGTTAAAGAGGAGTGGCGAGAGTGGGCATCCCTGTCTTGTTCCTGTTCTTAGGGGAAATGGTGTTAGTTTTTGTCCATTGAGTATGATGTTGGCTGTGGGCCTGTCATATATGGCTTTTATTATGTTGAGGTATGATCCTTCTATTCCCACCTTGCTGAGAGTTTTTATCAAAAATGGGTGTTGGATTTTGTCGAATGCTTTTTCTGCATCAATTGATATGACCATGTGGTTTTTTTCTTTCAATTTGTTTATGTGATGTATTACGTTTATTGATTTACGGATGTTGTACCATCCTTGCATCCCTGGGATAAATCCTACTTGGTCATGGTGTATGATCTTTCTGATGTACTGTTGGATCCGATTTGCTAAGATTTTGTTGAGGATTTTGGCATCTATGTTCATGAGGGATATTGGCCTGTAATTCTCTTTCATTGTGTTGTCTTTACCTGGTTTTGGTATTAGGGTGATGCTGGCTTCATAGAATGAGCTTGGAAGTGTTCCTTCCTCCTGAATTTTTTGTAGTAGTCTGAGGAGGATAGGTTTTAGTTCTTCCTTGAAAGTTTGGTAAAACTCCCCTGAGAAGCCATCTGGTCCTGGGCTTTTGTTTGCTGGGAGCTTTTTGATGACTGCTTCAATTTCTTCCATAGTTATTGGCCTATTGAGATTTTTAGATTCTTCCTGATTGAGTTTTGGAATGTTGTACTTTCCTAGGAATTTGTCCATTTCCTCCAGGTTGTCTAGTTTGTTGGAGTAGAGCTGTCCATAGTATTGTTTAACAATCATTTGTATTTCTGTGGGGTCTGTTGTTATTTCGCCTCTATCGTTTCTGATTTGGTTTATTTGGGTCCTCTCTCTTTGCTTCTTGGTGAGCCTGGCTAGAGGTTTGTCAATCTTGTTTATCCTTTCAAAGAACCAGCTCTTGGTTTCATTGATTTTCTGTATTGTTTTTTTGGTCTCTATGTCATTTATTTCTGCTCTAATCTTTATTATCTCCTTCCTTCTGCTCACTCTGGGGTTTTCTTGTTGCTCTCTTTCTAATTCTTTGAGTTGAAGAGTTAGATGATTTACTACCATTTTTTCTTGCTTTTTGAGATAGGCCTGAAGAGCTATAAACTTCCCTCTCAGGACTGCTTTCATTGTGTCCCATAGGTTTTGGATTGTTGTGTTTTCATTGTCATTAGTGTCCAGGATGTTTTTAATTTCTTCTTTGATCTCATTGGTAACCCAATCAATATTTAATAACATGCTATTCAGCTTCCAAGTGTTTGAGTATTTTGGGTTGTTTTTATTGTAGTTTATTTCTAACATTATGCCATCGTGGTCTGAGAAGAAGCTTTTTATGATTTCAATCTTCTTGAATTTGTGGAGACTTTGCTTGTGACCCAATATGTGGTCTATTTTTGAATATGTCCCATGAGCACCTGAGAGGAATGTATATTCCATGGCTTTGGGGTGAAGTGTTCTGAAGATGTCAATTAAGTCCATCTGATCTAGTGAGTCATTTAGGATTGCTGTTTCTTTGCTGATTGTTTGTCTAGCGGGCTTATCCAGTGGTGTCAGTGGTGTATTAAAGTCCCCTACTATGATTGTATTGTTGTCGATCTCTCCTTTGATATCTTCCAGGAGTTTTTTTATGAATTTGGGTGCTCCTGCATTGGGTGCATATATGTTTACCAGGGTTATATCTTCTTGTTGTATTGATCCCTTTAGTATTATGAAGTGGCCTTCCTTATCTCTGGTTATGGCCTTCACTTTGAGATGTATTTTGTCCGATATAAGTATTGCTACCCCAGCTTTCTTTTCCTTTCCATTTGCGTGAAAGATATTTTTCCATCCCTTCACTTTCAGTCTGTGTGAGTCCCTTCTAATGAGGTGGGTCTCTTGTAGACAGCAGATGTATGGGTCATGTTTTTTTATCCATTCAGCCACTCGATGTCTTTTGGTTGGAGCATTTAGTCCGTTTACATTTAAAGTTATTATTGAAAGGTACTTGTTTGTAGCCATTTCTTTTTTTGTGTGTGTGGCTGTTTTCTTTCTGAGCTTGTTATTTCTTCTTTTTACACCAGTCCCTTTAGCATTTCTTGCATGGCTGGCTTGGTGGTGATAAACTCCCTTAGCCTTTTTTTGTCTGTGAAGCTTCTTATTTCCCCTTCAATTTTGAATGAAAGCCTTGCTGGATAGAGTATTCTTGGATTCAGTCCTTTGCTTTGCATCACTTTGTAGATTTCTGTCCATTCTTTTCTGGCCTGATGTGTTTCTGTTGAGAAATCATTTGATAATCTAATGGGAGATCCCTTGTATGTAACTTTCCGTCTCTCTCTTGCAGCCTGTAAGATTCTCTCTTTGTCCTGAACATTTGCCATGGTAATTATGATGTGTCTTGGTGTGGGTCTTTTCGGATTCACCTTGTTTGGGACTCTCTGGGCTTGTGTGACTTTTTTCTTCCCCACCTCAGGGAAGTTTTCTGATATTATTTCTTCGAATAGGTTTTCTAATCCATGTTCATCTTTCTGTTGTTCTGGCACCCCTATTATTCGTATGTTGTTTCGTTTCATGTTGTCCCAAAGCTCCCTTAGGCTCTCCTCCTGTCTTTTAATTTTTTTCTCCATTTGCAGTATAGTTTGGGTGTGTTTTGCTTCCTTGTCTTCTAATTCACTAATTCGGTCCTCCGCTTCTCCTAGTCTACTGTTGATACTTTCAATGGAGTTTTTTATGGCAGCTATATCACTCTTCATTTCTTCTTGGGCCTTACTTAAGTTGTTGATTTTTTCATCTGTTTCTTCTAGCTTCTTGCATATGGTATTGAATTTTTCATCTGATTCTTCTAGCTTCTTGCATATGGTATTGAATTTTTCATCTGATTCTTCTAGCTTCTTGCATATGGTATTGAATTTTTCATCTGATTCTTCTAGCTTCTTGCATATGGTATTGAATTTTTCATCTGATTCTTCTAGCTTCTTGCATATGGTATTGAATTTTTCATCTGATTCTTCTAGCTTCTTGCATATGGTATTGAATTTTTCATCTGATTCTTCTAGCTGGAAAAAAAAAAGAAAAACAATGTTTTCTTAGTTAAAAGGTGAAAAAGTAATTAATTAAAAAAAAATAAAATAAAAATGTGCAGTAATGCAGGTGCTTCAGATCTTCTACTCTTCTTTTTGGCACGCCCGGAATTCAGGAGAATGTTGAATTTCCCTCTGATACACTGTTCCTCCGTGTTGTAAGCCACAGTCCTGATTTTAAGGCAGGCCGTATTGGTTCCCCTTACTGCTGTATTTGTATGTACAGAAGAGTCAGTTCGTGGCTCTGCCTCTGGGTGGCAGTGTGTCTGGATTGACCTCCAAGGCTTTAAGTCCTCTCTGACCAGGAGTTCTCTATTGTACCTGAACCAGCTCCGCCCAGATCTGTTTCACCAGTCGCCACTCTCAGCTCTGTTTTCCAGGCTCCCCAAAAACAATCTTCCCCTACAAGCTCCGCTAGCGACCCCAATTGGGCAATCACATGCACCGGGATCAACAATCAAACTCACAGATTTAAGAGGAAGTGTGTAAACAAGAGCCTGGGAGGCTGTGGGAACTCGCAGGGTTCCACCTTCCAGAACTCCGCGGAGTCTCAGAGCTGGTTTTTTAATCGTTACCCTGCTCTCCATAATAACATTTTTAAACATAAAGGGACTAACTAGGGACATAGAACCACCACAATTAATAAACTGGATACACACTTACTGGTATGATTTCAATATCAGCAACGTCAGCAGTTCCACCAATCCTAAGTTCTATGTCACTTCCGTGGCGTATAGCAACCTAATATTTAGAAAAAAATATAAAACTCTGTAGAAACCACATTAAAATATACTCATACACTGCTGAAGTGTTACCTGGCATTTATGTAACATTTTATAATTTAAATCATCATAACATTTTATAAATGTCACAAGATTTCTTCTGGCAGTTGTCATCACATTTCTTATTATGCAGAATTTATATTCCTAAGAGGAGTGAGTATTCAGCTCTTAAAACCTCCACCACAAATGGAATCAGCTGACAGATTGTGAACCTGACTGCAGAATTCTACTCACTTGAATTTATATTATTGCCTCAAACTCTCTGAGATCCTTTTGTATTTACCTAATTTCAATGAATTATTAAAAATAAAATAAACAGGAAACTGACTGCAAACATACTTCTTTCCATAGGAAGATACTAATATCCACAACAACTATAAATGAGAGCAGCTAAAAATTGATGAGTATATGGGCCAAGTATGGAGCTAAATGCATTACCTTCTTTTTAATCCTCAGTATTCTGTCAGGTTACTTCTATTAATAACCTAATTTCCAAGTGAGGAAACCTAAGGCTTAGAAAGGCCAAATATTTTGTCAGGGTATTTAAAAAAAACTTTTTTTGAGGTCATAAAACTTGAAAGCAACGTTAGTGAAACTTGATCCAAGGACTATCTGAACACTCAACTTTTTCCAGGAAAATTATGATAGTGAAATAAGAATTTAGTTGTGTAATTCCTTGTTTGATTTTACATCCCTAGCATCTACAACAGAGACTGTGTTGAATGAATGAACAAATTTCATTGTATTGCACTTTTAAAAAGGTAAGCTTTACTAAATAAGCCAGTTAGAGAAAGACAAATATCACATGATTTCACTTATATGTGGAATCTAATGAACTGATGAACAAAATAGGACCAGAGACATGGATGCATAAAATACAAACAGATCTCAGCAGGGAGGAAGGCAAAGGGGACAGGAAGAGATTAACGAAAGAACATCATATCTAATAAAAGAGAAACATGGTAATTAGCCGTATCTCCGCTACCCTTCCCATTGGCTAATCAGGG